AGCCCTGTCCCGCTCCCTCATTCCCTCCCAATCCCACCCTCCCTCCCTCATCTCCACCCTGCCCCTTTCCAAGTCCACTGAAAGGGGGGACCTCCTCCCCATTCATTCGATCCTGTTTTATCAGGTATCTTCAGGACTGGTTGTGAAGCCCTCCTCTGTGGCCTAACAGTACTGCTCCTTCCTTGGAGGGTGATGAGGTCAAAGAGCCAGTCATTGAGTTCCTGTTAGAAATAGTCCTTGTTCCCCTCACTATGGGAAACCAATTGGTTACTGAGCTACCACAGGCTACATCTGAGCAGAGATTCTAGGTTATATCCATATATGGACCTTGGTTGAATGTCAGTCTCTGAAAAGACCCTGTGCCCAGATATATTTGGTCCTTGTGGAGCGCCTATCCTTTCCCCATCATACTAACTTCCCTTCTTTCATATGATTCCCTGTACTCTGCCAAAGGTTTGGTCACCAGTCTTTGTATATGCTTTGAAAACACTGCTAGTTAGAGTCTTTCAAATGCGCTCAGTAGACTCCTGTCATATGTTCAATGCACATCCCATCTGTCTTTCTAAATGAGGATTGATCATCTTAGCCCATGTCCGCTCTCTTGATTATCTTTTTTAGGCATATAGATTTCATTATGTTTATCATATCTTATAGGTCTATATAAGTGAGTATATTCCGTGTTTATCTTTCTCCTTCTGGTATATTTCACTCAGGATGATCTTTTCTCGATCCCACCATTTGCTTACAAATTTCATGATTTCCTCCTTTTTGATTGCTGAGTAGTATTCCATTGTGTAAAAATACCACAATTTCTGTATCCATTCCTCCATTGATGGACATCTGAGTTGTTTCCAGGTTCTGGCTATTACAAATAAAGCTGCTATAAACATGGTTGAGCAAGTATCCCTTTTGTACTTGAGCAAAGTTTAGGTATATACCTAGTAGTGGTATAGCTGGGTCTTGAGGAAGCACTATTCCTAATTGTCTTAGAAAGCGCCAGATAGATTTCCAGAGTGGTTGAACCAGTTTACATTCCCACCAGCAGTGGAGGAGGGTTCCCCTTTCTCCACAACCTCTCCAGCATGTGTTGTCACTTGAGTTTTTGATCTTGGCCATTCTGATGGGTTTAAGTTGAAATCTCAGGGTCGTTTTGATTTGCATTTCCCTGATGGCTAATGATGTTGAGCATTTCTTTAACTGTTTCTCTGCCATTCAATATTCTTCTATTGAGAATTCTCTGTTTAGCTCTGTTCCCCATTTTTTAGTTGGATTACTTGGTTTGCTGCTTTTCAGCTTCTTTAGTTCTTTGTATATACTGGATATTAGTCCTCTGTCAGATAAAGGGTTAGTGAAGATTCTTTGCCAATCTGTAGGCAGGCGTTTTGTTTTGATGACAGTGTCCTTTGCTTTACAGAACTGTTCAGTTTCAGGAGGTCCTATTTATTGATTGTTGCACTTAGAGCCTGTGCTGTTGGTGTTCTGTTCAGGAAGTTGTCTAATGTGCCAATGAGTTCTAGGCTGTTCCCTACTTTTTCTTCTAACAGATTTAGAGTATCTGGTTTTATGTTGAGGTCTTTGATCCTCTTGGACTTTAGTGTTGTGCACGGTGATAAATATGGATCTACTTTCATTTTTCTGCATCTAGACATCCAGTTGGATCAGCACCATTTGTTGAAGATGCTGTCTTTATTCCATTGAATGGTTTTGGCTTCTTTGTCAAAAATCGAGTATTCATAGGTGTGTGGGTTTATTTCTGGGTCTTCTATGCTGTTCCCTTGATCCTCCTTTCTGTTTTTATGCCAATACCATGCAGTTTTTATTACTATTGCTCTGTAGTCCAACCTGAGATCGGGGATGGAGATACCTCCAGATGATCTGTTGTTGTACAGGATTGTTTTGGAGATTCTGGGTTTTTTGTTTCTCCATATGAAGCTGAGAATCTTTTTTTCAAGGTCTGTAAAGAATTGAGTTGGTATTTTGATGGGAATTGCATTGAATCTGTAGATTGCTTTTGGCAGGATGGCCATTTTCACAATGTTAATCCTACCAATCCATGAGCACGGGATATCTTTCCATCTTCTGAGATCTTCTTCAATTTATTTCTTCAGAGACTTGAAGTTTTTCTCAAACAGATCTTTCACTTGCTTGGTTAGTGTCACCCCAAGGTACTTTATGTTTTTAGTGGCTATTGTGAAGGGTGTTGTTTCCCTAATTTCTTTCTTGGCCCTTTTGTCTTTGGTATACAGAAGGGCTTCTGATTTTTTTGAGTTGATTTTGTATCCTGCCACTTTGCTGAAGGTGTTTATCAGCTGGAGGAGTTCTCTGGTTGAATTTTTGGGGTCGCTCATATACACTATCATATCATCTGCAAATAGTGACACTTTGACCTCTTCCTTTCCAATTTGTATCCCCTTGATCTCTTTTAGTTGTCTTATTGCTCTGGCTAGGACTTCAAGTACTATGTTGAAGAGGTAGGGAGAGAGTGGGCAGCCTTGTTTTGTCCCTGATTTCAGTGGGATTGATTTAAGTTTCTCTCCATTGAGTTTGATGTTGGCTATCGGCTTGCTGTATATTGCCTTTACTATGTGTAGATATGTGCTTTGTATCCCTGATTTCTCCAAGACTTTAAATATGAATGGCTGTTGGACTTTGTCAAATGCTTTTTCAGCATCTAAGGAGATGATCATTTGGTTTTCCTCTTGAGATCACATTATTATTTCAACATGAAATCATAACACACCACTATCAAGAATTTAACTTTTTTTGTAACTATGGTACCTTTAATGTCATAGCATATCTCAACTCCTATGGCAATTTTTTTTCAAAAATACACTTGATGTAAGTTTTGATTTAATAAAAGGGAGAGAAAATGCTGATTTAAATATTTATAATGTTCCCAACATACTTAAAATTTTTAACTGAATAAAACTGCTTTTAAAATTCAAATTAAAGTTAATTTTCTATTTTCTCAGTTTCACTTACCTCATTTTAAGCATGTTGTAGGTACATGTTTATCAAGTATCTTCTGGGTACATATATTCAAGTGCCTTGTGGTACACATGGGAAATACCATGTAGGTGCATATGGTCATACTAGTGCATGACTTCTGAAGTGTAACTTCATCAGGGGCTTAGCTTGGTTCACTGCAATTAAGATAAAACAATACATCTACACTGGAGAAATTTGAGGCTTCAAAATCTAAGAGTCTCTAAAAGCAAACCATAATAAGAGTCATGGTAATTAATGTTATAATGCTTTTGGTTGATATTTTTAAAACACCATGTAAGGGAGAGTAACTGATGAGTGTCCCTGTTCTTGAGCAATCTAAAGCTGAGTTATACATGAATTAATAAACATATTATGGAAAGAAGTGGCTTGACTATAGTAATATTTAGTCATTTAATTTTCTCTACAAATGTTAATTAACCAGTTACTACAGGTATCTAAATGATGGGTAGATTAAGAATGCATTTTGAAATAACAGAACTAGGTGCCCAAGAATGGGACAGAGGTTTTGATGAGACTGTGTAGTAGTAGAAAATGTCCCAAGTTCTGAGAGCAGAGCAACTTGTTCTTTGCAGCTTAGCAGGTGCTCACTTTTTTAAAATGAATTCTTTCTCTCTTTTTCTCTCTTTCCCTGTGCTTGGCACATCCATAAAACTTAACTCCAGACCAAGGAGAAAGGAAAGAATTAGAGGGATAATGCTGTCCTAGGACCCACTAGCAAAACAGTTATCCCCTTTTAAAAAACAGGCCCTAGGATCATCATGATTTCTCTTTATCATGACTATTAGAATTTGGGGAAGAAAAATCAGTTTTAAGCACAGAATCTGACTAAACAGCAGTGTAAGTAACAGTGTGGTAAGGCTGTGGAGGAAAATTCTCCCAGGAAGATCCCTCTGCTCTAAGAAGGCCTCAGTTCCAAAAATTAAAGTAACTAATTTTTCTAGAAAACATGAAGCCAGTGTGTTCTTTTATCCCTTGTCAGGTTCATCTGCTTGGTATCTGTAATCACATCTGCCCTGTTTTCTGACCATCTTACATGAATCTCAGAGCTCCTAGAAAACACAAAATACAGAAGAACTTTCTGTAATGTGGTCCTCACTTAATACCCAAATCAGCCAAAGAGGCATGTCTCAGAATTTCTTGGAATTTTATTCACAAAGGAAGATTAAGCTCATATCACAGAAGAAGGCATATCTAGAACACAAAAAAGATTTTTTTTCCAAATCATTGCTTGATAGATAGATTCACCCATTTTCCCAAAAAAACGATTTATTTGACCTTTGAAAATGTATTTTAAAAACCTCTCTTCTTCTATGAAGAAAGTATTTAAGACTCCACCAGTTGGCTGTTGTTTAGTTTCATGTTTTGTGTGACTTCTCTGTATGGTTGCATGCTAATGAATATGCAAATCTTTTCTGTGTATGTTTTTATTTGTATGTATCTGTAGACTCAAATACTTAACCTACAAAGGGGGATGTTGAACTTCCTTATGGTGAACAAAAAAGAATTGGGGAATTATAGTTAGATGCTAAAATACAGAAAAACAATAGATAATAGAAAAGAAACCTATTTTAAAAAACAAATAATAATTAATATATATATTAGAGAAAGATGATATAAAATGATAGATGACAGATGATGATAGATAAATGTAGATGATGGGAATACATAGATAGATGACAGAGAAAGGTATACATATATAAATCAGGTCTGGATATGATGTAGATATAGACACAGATATATACAAAGAGAAACCTGACTCACCAGTGATATTCAGAACAGGTACAGTCAGCTTTATATTAAGATTTATGAATGTTCTAAAAATGAATTCATTCATAGTCACATAGTCACAGGTTTGGAAGGAGATAAAGCGGGTATAAGCTGAGACATTTAACAGACATTTGCACTCTTAGATGAAACTTGTAGTAGACACTCATGAAGTATAATTAGTGGCACCAGACTGGTGGTCATCTCAGGGTAGCTTTTTTTTAGAGAGTATTAGGCGACGAACCATTCCTTTGTTCACAGGTCAGAACACTGAGAATAGACATACCTAATCTCCTCTACCACCTACTGATACACATGAAACACAGCAGTCATACCTGCAATGCCTCTAAGGGCAGGGACATAGCAGCTCTTAACATCTATGCCAGAAACACAAAGTCCCCAAATTTATAAAATAAATATTTCTATAGCTTAAATCACATATTGACACTCACATAATGATAGTGGGAGATTTCAATCCCTCGCTTCCAGAAATAAACAGGTTATCCAGACAAAACTAAACAGAGAAATTCTGGAGCTAACTAAAGTTATAAAGCAAATAGACTTAACATCTTTATAGAATTTTTCACCCAAACACACAAAAATGTTTAGCTCCTCATGAAACTATCTTTAAAGTTGACCACATACTCAAACACAGAGCAAGTCTCAAAAGATAGAAAAAAATCAAAATAATACCTGCATCCTATATGACCATCACAGATTGAAATAACAGAAAGCTTACAACTTGTGGAAACTGAACAACTCTCTACTGAATGAAAAATGGATGAAGACAGGAATAAAAAAAAATGTAAAGGGTTTCTAGAAATGAATACACATCATTCATAAAACTATGGGACAAAAATGAAGGCTGTTCTAAAAGGAAAGTTCATAGTACTAAGTGTTTTGATCTGTGATCCACTGATTTTAATCAGGGTCATCCATATAACCAAAGGGTGTAAAACTATTTTTTGAACCCTGTGGTCTCATTAGCAGGTACACACTGAAGAGATTGACTCCCCATTCCATAACACCTACTAATGGCCAACAGTTCATCAGGGAGTGGGGTCACTATGAGTTCCTCTCCCTGCATGACTGACTTAGGCCCAGTCCTGCACAGGACAAATGTATGAAGCTATAGTTACTGTAAGGTCATGTTGCAATGGCTATGTCATGCCAAAAAGATATATTTTGACACCCTTTCTCTCTATTCCCTGATTCTTACATTCTTTCCATCTCCCTCTTCGGTGACAATGCTTGAGACTTAGTGGGACTGACATCGTTTTTACCTCTGTTCCTTGGCATTACCACTAAATGGCAGTCTTCTGCTTGTGCACACATTAAGCAGTGACATGCCCATGTACTTTGATCTTGTTATTCCCTCTGCTTCAAATATTCTTGCTTCAAATATTCTTTCTTCAAAACCAAAATTTTAAAAAAAAAATGTATGTCACTTTAATTCCTCAAATATTTCCTTGCCAGAATCCCCTGTTGACAACCTTTATAAAATTTGACCCTCTTGCTTCATGATGCTTCTCAATTGGCTTCCCTTTGTTATTGTTTGGTTTTTCTTTGTTTTTAATACAATAGGCATTCCTGCAGAAGGCGGTTTTAATTTTTTCATCTTCTGTACTCTCGGCACATAGTATCAATGACAATACTTGGCAGGGGTTCAACGTGTACACTTTTAAAATATGTCCCTAAAATATAGAATTGGACAGTGACTTTGAAAACCATGCCAAATAGAATTTCTAACTCCTACTTATAATCTTTCTAGCCACCAACAGTGTACAACATTTGCTCAAAGCCAGAAACCAGGCACAGGCGTGAATAGCAGATCCTCAAGTAACAGAGAAATCCTCAGATCATCATGATATTGCTGAGTGCAGCCAAAGCAAAACAAAACAAACAACAACAACAAAACAATACCTGGTCACAGGGGTCTTTTCTGAGACTGATACTCCAACCAAGGACCATTCATGGATATAACCTAGAACCCCTGCTCAGATATAGCCCATGGCAGTTCAGTATCCAAGTGGGTTCCCTAGTAAAGAGAACGGGGACTGTCTCTGACATATACTCAGTGGCTGGTTATTTGCCCTCCCACACACGGGGGAACAGCCTTGCCAGGCCACAGAGGAGGACATTGCAGCCAGTCCTGATGAGACATGATAATCTAGGTTCAGATGGAAGGGGAGGAGGACTTCCCCTATCAGTGGACTTGAAGAGGGACAGAGGAGGAGTTGAGGGAGGGAAGGTGGGATTGGGAGAGAATGAGGGAGGGGGCTACAGCTGAGATACAATGTGAATAAAGTATAATTGATTTAAAAAAGTAAAAATTTAATTTAAAAAGAGCTAATGTGCAATATGAAGGATAAAGTCAATAAGGGCAAACAACAACAACAACAAAAAGCTTTACCCCATATCCATAGTTTTTGAGGTCTACGATGATGCCTAAATAAATTCTGTGGACTATGGAGTTAGTGGCCAGGAAGATTTACCACCTCCTTAACAACAGTACATCATGTGCAAAACCCAAGTCAGGAGAGTTCTTTGCATACTTAGGAAACTGTGAGATACACTTTAGGATAGATAGAGAGTGAGAGCAGAGGAGAGAGGTAGAGCCTACGTCATGGAAGGCTTAAAATATAGTCTCTGGATTGTGGACTCTAATCCTAAAATCCCCTAGGTGACTGAAAAGTTTTGAACAATAAAACAGCATTAAGATATTTGCATTACAAAAAGAGCATTTTATTGACCAATATTAAGAAAAGCTCTTTGAAAAGAAGCAAGTACCAAGACAATAGGAATTTGACATAAGTTTATTCTGCCATGAAAATCTAATTGGAATTACTCATTTTTTTTAAGAGTAAACATTTATGTTTTTCTGAACCAGGAAGGAAAGAAGCTTGATTAGTAAAGATTACCAATCCAGGACAGCAGTAAGCCTTCCACTTACCAACAGAACAGAGGTATTGTGTGTGTGTGTAGATTGCTATCTTGATCTCAAGCCCTGACAGCTTCAGTGTCAGAAGTAAAAAAGGTGCAGAGCTTGTAATCTTATCTCTGAGACAAGAACTGGGTTCTTTGAAAAGGCAGATATAGGAAAAGAAAATTCAGACTTAAGCATTCAAGATTAGGTGGGTGTGGGTCTTGAGACAAGGAATGAGGTGTGGAATCACGGCACTGGAATCAATATCCTCCTTGGGGCTGAGTGCAAACCAAGACACAGTGGTAATATTCCCAACCTGTTCCCTCTCTGCCTCTGAAACCTGGTATCATTTTAAGAACACTGATTATAATCTTGTTCTACTCAGTGGGGGTGGGAGTGGAATTGGACCTTGGCAAAACTATTTCTTAATTATAACAAGAACGATTTTACCAACAATATGAAATATTTTTTTTTCTCTGAGACATGAGATCATGCCACTAAAGCTGGCTTTAAATGTAAATATGAAACTGACCTCTTGATCCTCCTCCCTCCACGTCCTTAGTGCTAGGATAACCTATATGAAACATTACATCCTGCTTTGAAGGCTCAAGGGTTTTTTTTGTTGTTGTTGTTTGTTTGTTTTTTGTTGTTGTTTTAGGCTCAAGTTTTAAAGTCTGACGCTACATATAAGAACATATGGAGGCTTTTCTATTGGACAATTTTTCAGTATATTAAAATGTAAAAGTTCCCATGGAAAGATACATTTACATTTCATGTTTGTTTTTCACTGTTCCCTATGAAATAGTAAGTTACTGTTAATTATAAATGGCTAAACATGCAATGACACACTGGTTTCTAGGAAAAGGTACAGCTTTATCTCCTTAGCTGCTTTTAGAATGTTCACAGTGATCACTTGGCAGCAGGTGTCATCTAAATAGCTTCCAAGATGACAGGAACACAAAATGTACAAAAAATTTTGTAAAGAAAATATGTATAAGCCTCATTCCACACAGTCTCTGGCTATAATTTCAATATAAATGTTGACATTGCATCTCAACCAACAGGGCTGGTGTTGGAAAGCAGGAGATACCAAACTCTGTGATCTATGTAAGTGGATAAAACCTTTACTATTCTTAAATTTGAGAAATCTAGGTTTGTTAGCACCAAACCCTCTCTGTCTTTACAAATGAGCTATTTAAAAAAGATGCAAAATTATGGGAAATGTGATTAAAAGGTTGTAATTCTCTTAATGTCAGGGACAAACTCCAATATTTGGTTATTAGAAATTACTTACTTATACAGTAATAGCGTATACTGTCAATGACACTCAAACACTGATGAGAGGACAAAAATGGCCAGTGCTCTGGCCAGTGGAAAGATGACCAGATGAGAACCGAATGTAAGTAATTCAAAATTATAGTTGGACCATAGAGCGGGAGAAAAAGCATAAAGGGTTAGTCCGAAGAAATTCAGACAAGAATGTAAAATGTTGGGAAAGATGCGGAAAGGTTTCTAGTCCGTGAAAAAGATGATGGGGACTGTCTTCACTGTCTACCAACAGCATGATATTCTGACACTGATGTGTAGCACTGAATGTGCATTTGTTCATGACTTGAATAGTGACTATTTTCTGTATTATTTTTGGTATTTTGGCTCATGGTCTAAGGACCAGTAAAACCTATTGAAAAGCTGTATTACAGTTGGAAGGTTAGCAATGCCTTCTGGTGCTAGGAGTCTCTGCTTGAGACCTCCTCATATCCCCCCAGGAGCCTACCCTGTCCAAGGTCTCCAGCTACTCACAGAAATACCCCCACCCTCAGTTTTGCTTTTCTCTACAAGCCTTCTGTCCTCTCGCCCTTGCTCTCCCCAGGTCTGATCTCCACCCTCTTAACTCTCTGTGCCCCCTTTCCTACCTTGTTCCCTCTCTTCAACCATTGCATCGGTCTATTTTATCTCCCTTTCTATGCAAGATTTATGCATCTTCCCTTGGATCCTCCATGTTACTTGCCTTCTTTGGGTTTGTGTCTCATAGTATGCTTATGTTGTACTATATGGCAAAAATCCATTTAGAAATGAGTACATATCATGTGTGTCTTTCTGGGTCTGGATTATCTCATTTAGGATGAACTTCTCCAGTTCCATCCATTACCTGCAAATTTCAGATTTATTATTTTTTTAATAGCTGAGTAGTATTCCATTGTGTAAATGTGCCACAGTTTCTTTACTCATTCTTCAGTTGAGGGACATCTTTATAGATTCTGGCTGTTAGGATTGTGCAGTGGAGTTATAAGGCAGGATCATATATCACGCAATGCCAACGGTTCCACATGGGAGGTTTTATTAAGGGGAGAGGGTGGGGTCACAGAGACAGGAGATGGAGAGAAAGACATGGAGAGGGGAGGGGTGCCCTGACAGAGAGAGGGGAAGAGCA